CAAACCAGGGCAATATACCAAGAAGAGTTTCCAAAACTCCCCCCTTCCGCCCAAGGAGCTCTCCCTGATTCTACTCGAACTCGCCTATTCCCATAGAGTTCAACTCTACTTGGGAGTCACCGGCCGTCAGCCAAGGAAGGCCAGCTTGCCGGCTTCTAACCAGCACCGGACTCTTAACCGGAGGCCCTTTCTTTTCCCTCTTTTTGAACTGGGTCTTCCCCCAAGCAGTTACCCTTTTTACCAGAGGCTTTTTCTTACCTGGGAACTCCTTGTCTTGTTGGGGTTAGCTCTCTCAGTCTCGTTTTCCTCTCAGCCACCCTTTCCTCAAGCCCTGCTCACGGCTGGTGGAGGTTTCCGGCCAAATTTGCCTCAGCCCAAATGCTGAGGGAGAGCTCTCTAATGCCGGTTGTCCACCCATCCAAAAAGAGGTTCTTTGAGGGAGAAGGCTTAAGAATTTTGAGGCAAAATTCGCCTTTAGTCCACTCGGTGCCCCATGTTGGGCGCCAAAACTGTTACTGGACTGTGCCAGTCAACAGCTGGGGCAAACCCGGGTGGACCCCAGACCTGAGCAAAAGGAGCCTGAGATGAGACTTGGAGCCAAAACCAGCTTTATTCTAATGCACTATAGAATAAAGGGAGACAAAAGGGGACATTCAGCCCAAAGCAGTGTCTCAAAGTTGCACCTCAGTACATGCATTTTATACCCTAGGTAACCAATTAGGTCACCTAATACACATCTAATACATTGATACATCAATGTATGCACCCCCTCCCATGCTGGAGAAAGAGTCCTTTCTTCTGTCAAGGACCAGACATTTCCCATGTCTATTTCTTATCTGCTCGAGATTCACACAGGCTTGCCATGTTCTTACTCCCTGCACATTTGCAACTTTCATGGCGGCCAGAACCAGTTTCCACTGTCCCTTTGATTACTGTATTTGAGGTCAGGCTAGCGTGTTAGCTGTGGGTTACACAAAGTTCATTTTGTTCTTATCTGCCCTCCCTTCTGGGACAGTATAACTGTGGTGTTTTTACTATGTGGCCTTCCTCTGGCCAACTACTTTTGGGGCCTTTCTCTGGCCAATTACTTTTGGGGTGTTTTGGGGTGCTGCAATTGGCAACATAAGTACAGGTTAGGGGCAAGTGGCTGGAGAGTAGCACTTGTGAAAGGGACCTTGGGGTGCTGATTGACTGTAGGCTAAACATGAGTCAGCAGTGTGATGCAGTGGTTAAGAGGGCGAATGTCACCCTTGGTTGCATAGCCAGAAGTGTGGCTTCTAGATCGAGAGAGGTATTACTACCACTCTATATGACTCTGGTGCGCCCACAACTGGAGTATTGTGTTCAGTTCTGGGCCCCTCATTACAGAAAGGATATAGCCAGGTTAGAGTCAGTGAAGTGTAGGGCCACAGGGTTGGTGGCCGGTTTGCAGGGGATGCCGTATGAGGCAAGACTGAGGGAACTGGGTCTCTTCAGCCTGGAGAAGAGGAGACTCAGAGGGAATCTGTTTGATAAGTTTGATAATGGTAGTTAGGCTAGTGATAGTTAAATATTGGAAACAGAATTGGGTTTTGCAAAGGCATGAATGGTATAAGGAAATATTGAATATGGTAATTAATGATAAACTGATGACAGAAATAAAAATTTAAAAAGGGTTAATGAAAGCAAATAAATATAATGAAATTTGAGAAGATTTTGTAAAAGTAGTACTGATAGAATGCAAAGGTTGTGAACCTAATCAAGTTTATATGAATTTCTGGAGGGGATATGGATATAATTCAAGTATATTATATATTATTAATTGTTATGTGATTTAAGTGGAGGTAGTATTGGTCTCCTGGGTGGTGGGTCACTTTTACCTTTTTTAATTATTGTGTTTTTGCTATGTTATGTTATTATTGCTGTGATGTGTTGTATATAGGGGGGTTTTCTGTATTTAAAAAAATAAGAAAAAAGAAGGGGGCGGGAACAAAACACTTCACGTGGTACTCAGTGGTTATTGTGCCTCCAAACATGGCAATTCTGTTGTCCATCACGTTTATTAGCTGCTATACGCCACGATTTTTTCCCCTATGGAAACAGCTTCTGTCAATCATCTATTTATTTATTTATTTATATCTATCTACAGTGGTACCTTGGCTCATGAACTTAATCAGTTCCACGACTCTGGTTGTGACCCAAATTGGTTGTGACACAAGTCAAATTTCCCCATGAGATTCAATGTAAATAAAGTTAATCTGTTCTGGCCCCTCTGAATGTGGTTGTGAGGCAGTTTTTGGTCACGAGCCAAGTCAAATTTCCCCATAAGGTTCAATGTAAATAAGGTTAATCCATTCTGTAACTATTCTTTTTTAATCAGAAATTTTGAAACAAAGTGACAAAGAACAACGAAGTAACAAAGTACTGTACAATACAGTGGATAACACTAGCCTAGGTGTGTGGGGGGAGATTATTGTTTTGAGGGAGAGTCCCCTTCCATAAGGACATTGGCGAGATCTCTTTTAGGGGTTTCCTCCCTTTGTCTCTTAGCTGCAGGGTCAATTTTGGTGAAAAATCTGTCTATAGTCACTTGTTTTTTCCTGCGCTGCATAACCTTCCGGAAATGAGAGACCACGTTATCGTTTGTCAGATTCAACACTGTTCATTACATTTATGTTGGGGTGGTGCTTCTCAAAGAAATCCAGGCATGGGCACACTCCTGCAGGAAAGACGGGCACAATCTCGGCCATCTCCCTACCCTCAACCAGGACGATCGTGGCCATTTCCCCAGCCCCCCGAAGTGGGAAGATGGTCAGGATCACAGTTGTGTTTGTGCAGGGAAGACGTGCGTGATCACGGGTGCGCTGCTGCAGGAAAGACGGGCGCAGCACAGCACAGCCGTGATCATACATGTGTTTCCTGCACGAACGTGACTGTGATCGTGGCCATCTCCCCACTTGAGGGGGAGGGGTGGAGATGGCTCCAATCTTGGTCACCACCCAAAGCGGAGTTCGTGGCCCAAGTTAAAATTTTCATGAAATTTTTGTTCATGACCCAAGGCGTTTGTGACCCAAGGTACTACTGTATTATCATTTCTGGATGGCCCAGTGGCTGAACTTCCCTGGGTAGTTCACAGCAATTAATAAAACAAATGCAATTATAAAATATATAATAAAATTACAATAAAATTACAATATATTAATAAAATGCATTATAATATAGTATTGGTAGACAAAATTTAATATACTTGACATAGCTAAAATATTTTTAATAGAAACTAGACTTGTTAAAACAGTGGACATATCCCATGAAATGCCTGGAAGCTGAGGGCACCCTTAATTTGACATCCAAAAAACGGCAGTGTTGGCATTTTAAACTACCACAGCAGGTAGTAAATGTCATGTTAAACAGGTGTTGCATGAAGAATTATTTAGTTGTAGAAGATGTAAAATTCATACTTTCCTAATTTGACTTCTTTTTTATTGTATTTATAGACAAGAGTTGAGTCATAACTGCCTGTTATGCTCATTTTCTCTCCCATTATTTTCTAAAAGCATCTTAATTTTTTGTGTGATTTCAGTGTTTCCTTAAAAATGCATTTTGTTTTCTTTTTTAATCCTGAATACTGGAAGGAAATGCTCAAAAAACCCCAAAGGCTATTTTTTTAAGATTGTGCAATGCCTGAGCTAATGTACAATAATGGAGCTTCTGGGCTGTAGGACCAAAGAGTGTTTTTTGAGGGGGTGGGGGTTGACCAAAGGCCAAATCTTCCTCAGAGTCACTTTTTGGATATACTTTATAAACCATCCCTCAACCCAAGTGACTAATAAGAGCTTTCCTCTAGTCCCAGCCCTCCCTATGAGGCCATGCAGTGGGTTGGCTCACACAGAGAAGAGAGAAGGTAAGCTCATTGCCCAGTTGCAGTGATGGTACCTTGCTGATAAGATTCCAGCCCAGAATTGCATAGAGCCTTATTCCCAGGGATGAGGATCCTCCGTGAACTGACCCCTGTAGAATGGGTCAGAGGGTGAATGGTTACTGAAAACTTTCTAAATACCCTTTTGACGGGTTTTACATAAAACTGTCTGAACATTACTGTCCAGGACATGGACAAAAAGCAGAGGAAAGCTTAGAGTGTTCATGCAGTTCATTAAATTGCTCAGTGTGATGCATGGTTCAACACAGAAACTAGAACCCATTGGGAATTTGGTTTAGTCCTATTACACAAGGTCTTAACAGAAATCACTTCCCAGATGCTTAACAATAAAATCAGAATAAAATCCTAGTTATGGAATTTCCTCCCAATGGAATTTAAAGTAGCCCATCCCACATGACTTTTTGGTTGGCAACAAAAACATTTTTATTACACTTGGCTTTTAATGCTTTCTAATACTAGGATGGAAGGTTTTACCTCCACTTCTTCTGTTTTTTTTTAAATAACTTTAATTTTGTTATTGTTTCAGTATTTATAGGTTGATTTTGGAAATTGCCTTGAGGGCCTTTGGTGGTATTGAAATCCTTTATAAATAGATGTAAATCCATCAAAATGTAAACAAAAAATCTTGCTCCAATAATCAAAAGCAGACAGGTCATAAACAGCTCCAAAATTTAAAAGTTACCCAGCAACCAGTTGCATTCCAAGAACCCAATATCTCTGAAGAAACCCTGTTTTTACATACCACCTTGTAAACGGAGAACTGACCAGGCAACCATCTCTGAGCAAAGAATTTGGTAACTGTGGTGCCACCACTAAGAGAGCCCTAGACCACATAATTACCCACTAAGCATTGGGGGATTCTTCAAAAAATGTTCTTGGGGTATCATGTTTATGTAGAGCTGTGAGATGAGCTGGAAAACGCAGGGAAAAAAAATCTGAAGCACATGCAAACCAAGCCATTAACTGAGTTCCCTGGGCTGGAGCCTAACTTTGCACTGTTGAACAGAATACCTGCCAGTTGTTTTTGCTTCTCATGTTATGTCTCCATCTCAACTTGTTTTTCTAACCTTTTTCCTTCTCCAAGATGTGGACGAATGTTTGTCATCCAATCAGCCTTGTGGGGAAGGTCACATTTGCATCAATTCTCCTGGCAGCTACCGTTGTGAGTGCCAAGTTGGCTACTACTTCGATACAATCTCACGAACTTGCTCTGGTAAGTGATGTGCATTGACTCCTCATGAATAAAACAGTCTTACAACCTTTCTGTACCCAGGGGAGGTGACCGTTCTTGGGAGGAGTTCCTTGTTTTCAAAACAAAAAGGGGAGAAAGCCATTGCCACTCAGTACAGCTCAACCCTTAAAAAAGGCATCTTTGAAAAATGCATCTTGGTGCCCCTGCAAAATAATCTACCTGAAAATGGGGAAGCATGTTGAGGAAACAGTCTCTTTGTTCAGCCATAGCGCTGTTCTGCAGAAAAACTGCCATGTTCTGTGGAAGAAAGGATTGTCCATGGCCAGCCCCGGTGGTGGCTGCACATTTACCTCCAGTACTGACAGCTTGCCTCTGTGAGGTCTGATCCAGCTCTGCTCATCCTCTTATAGTTTGGACTTGTGTTGCTTCAGTAATACAAGATGCTCTGGCCATGCGGGGCTCTCATTTTTTCTCTGACTGGCCTTGGAGGGTGGGCTGCCTGACGTGATCCAAGTGCCCTAAAGTTCAGTAAAGGTATGGGGCCAAACTGTGGATTGTACTTTTTCAGCAGATGGGTTGCAGCTGGAATACAAGGATCAGTCCAAAGATAATGCTGCTTGAATCATGTAAATGACATTTGCAATATGTTTTTAAAAGTGCCTGATGCAGATACTTGGCTCAACAATACAACAAGTGAGAAGGGTTTGTTGTAGATCTCAAGCTGGATATGAGACAACAGGGTGATGCAGCTACAAAAGAGACAAATGCCTTTCTGCACTCCACAATAGAAGTATCTCTTCCAAGTTCTAGTTCCCCTCTACTCAGCACTGGTTAGGCCTCATTTGGAGTACTGTGTCCAGTTCTGAGCACTACAGTTTAAGAAAGATGCCAACAAACTGGAAAAAGTTCAGAGAAGGGGAACACAGATTATATGGGAACTGGAAACAAAATCCTATGAGGGGAGACTGAAAGACCTGGCATATTTAGCCTTAAGAAGAGAAGACTGAGGGGAGATAGGATAGCACTCTTCAAGTACTTGAAAGGTTGTCACTGAGGGGAGGGATGGGATTCCTTCTTGATCATCATCATTTTGAGCTCAAGTTACAGGAATGCAAATTCCAGCTGTTAGAGCTGGAACTCTGGACAGAGCAACATGACAAGAGAACCAATTACCCAGAGCAGTCATGGGCTCTCCCACTGAAACTATTCAAGATGCAGCTGGACAGCCATCCATCAGGGTTGCTTTGACCTGGTGTTCTTCAGTGAGCAGGGGGTTGGGCCTGCTGGCCTTATGGGCCCCTTCCAACCCTGGTATTCTGTGGTATCTCTTTCCCTATAACATAAGCAGCCATTTTCATACTGACTTGTTTCTCTCCACAGATGTTAATGAATGTCGCCGATACCCTGGTCGTCTGTGTGCTCACAAATGTGAAAACACTGCAGGCTCCTATTATTGTAGCTGCACAATAGGTTTCAAACTTTCAGCTGATGCGAGGTCATGTGAAGGTAAAGTGCTCTGTGTCACAAGTGCAGACTTGTTGCAACTATCTATGTCTCTTCAGAAGCAAGCTTTGTTGAGTTAATTGGACTTAGATCCAGGGAAGCATGCATAAAGCATGCATAAGGCCACTAACTTGGAGAGCCAGTATTGAACAATAGTTAAAGGACAGTATCCAGTTGGGTTATTTTGCAAGTGGGACCAGGTTCTGAATTATGTGCAAGAGAAGCTAATGCTGCTGCAGCAGCTGTGGCAGGGTAGTTCAGACAGTTCACAAAAACATGGACCACTGAGTCATTCAAATGTAGCATTTTTCCCAATATGCATTTAAAAAAAAAACAATTTAACAGCTAAAATTATTTCAGTTCAAATGTTAAAAACATCTGTTAAAAACAACTGATGTAAATGCTTCACCATGCCATTAAATACTGCACCATTGTATTTGTGCAGATGCATTTTTTGCAACTGATTGCAAAAGTGGTTGCCCTACATGAGTTTCTGGAATCCTGTTGGATACTGCCCTGGACTGGGGCCTGTCTGATAGGACTGGAGCCTATCTCACCCTAGTGTACCTCACAGAATTTTTGTAAAAATCAGATGGGAGGGTTGCAGGAGAGAAAAAGGTAAGCCACTTTGATCTTCTTGGAGGAATGGGGTGATAGGAATAGAATGAATACAGCCACTCATAATCTGGTCAACAACATTGTTTTGAGTTCATGCATTTTTGTTGGTTCCAGACCTGAATGAATGTGAAAGTAATCCCTGTAGCCAGGAGTGCGCTAATGTGTATGGTTCCTATCAGTGCTACTGTCGGAGGGGCTACCAGCTTAGCGACATCGATGGGATCACATGTGAGGGTGAGTAAGCATCACTATCCATACTGCACACATGAAGTTGCCTTACTTTGATTTAAGGCCACTGGTCCATCTAGACCAGGGTCATTTAATGTGCAAATCACCACCACCACCACCACCAATTTCATTTCTAGACTGCCGTGTAGCTGATACTTTCTGAAAGCAGTGACTTTCCAAGGGTTCAGACAGAAGAGTCTTTCTCAGTTATTTACTTCAGATGTTTAGCAACTGAACACAGGAATCTCTGCAAGTAAAGCACGTGCTCCACCACTGAATGGTCTTCCCATTGAGGCCCAGCCCTTGCAGTGTTGTCCATTAGAGAGCAGTCTCTCTGTGTTGCTGATCATCTTGCGTGTGCACATATGTAAAATATAGCTGCTTCCTCAATGAGCATGGGAAGTCACTTAAGCTTTGGGGCAGTGGAAGATTTTATTTATTTATTTATTAAAACATTTTTATGCCGCCCCATTCGCCGAAGCCTCGGGGCAGCTTACAACATAGATAAAACATAGATAAAAGATGGTTATAATGATCATTTGGACTGAACTGTGTGGTTTGTAGAGATGTGAACGCCACCTGAAACTATCTTGGTTCTTTAATGATGTTCTTTTATGGTCATCCAAAATCCTGGAGATATTTTGGTGGAGGAAAACCTTTCAACTCCTCCTCAGAAATGTACCAAAATTGTACCAAATTTTGAATTTCCTGGTAGTGACGCTGGAGGGCATATTCAAGGCTGACCCAACCAAGCATGCATCAACAGACTCACTGCACCTTTCCTAGTGAATGGTTTTCCTCACCTACTACATTTCCTCTGTCCTTTGTGTGAAGATAAATAATTGGCTACAGAACAGATAATCTAAACAACAAGCTTGTGGTATAGTTGTGCATGGCACATGGGGTGTGGGAGGGGATTGCAGGTGAGGATGAAAATCCTTCCAAATCTTCTGAGGCTCCTTGAACTAGGTAAATGTTCCCTGTACTCATAAGTTACCCATTCTGGGGTACTGAAAGGGTCTTGGCAATATTGCTAATTGCCCAATATACTTTCCAGATATTGACGAGTGCGCTTTACCAACTGGAGGACATATATGTGCTTATCGATGCATTAATGTCCCAGGGAGTTTTCAGTGTACTTGCCCTGCTTCTGGTTACAAACTTGCCCCCAACGCAAGGAACTGTCAAGGTATGTTTAAAATATACCAGCACAAATGTGACAATGTTAGGCCTAAAGAGCCTGTGTTCATGTTCTAGAAAAACAGGAATATAGAACTATTGAAAGTTCTTATAAAAAGTGAAATGTATATGGGAAATGCAGCTGTAATACTTTTGTCTACTTAGAATATGTGAAACAGGTTTAAACATTTTAAATATTTCTAGGCCATGTTTTCAGCAGGGGCTCCATTCTCAATGATGGCTTCCAGCAGCAAAATAGACTGATATAGTTTCATAAAAACAACAGTAAATCCACACATGTCAGGGGAAGGCCAGAACAAGTAGGTTTTCAGAGCCTGCTTAAAAGCTGAGGCCTGGCAGAACTTCCATGGTGAACCATGCCAAGGTGTGGGACTACTGTAGACTTGGCCACATAACTGTCCTCAAATGAGGACAAGTGCCAAAGGACCTATATTGCTATTATTAAAGTGAAGGAAGGCAGATATGGGTGAAGGCAAAACCACACTTTAAATTAGCCTGGTGCAGTAAAGGCAACTTATGGTCTGACCTCCTCATCCATCTGCACCAAAACTCTCAGGTATCCACATTCCACAAATGCTCCTTCCAGTTGTTTCTTGAATTCAAGATTCTTGCTAACAAAGGCTAACAAATTTGGCATTTTTATTTCACACTTCTGAAGACATGGGTTCTAGTCTGTAAAGTTTAAGTCATAGTAAGCTTGTTATTTTATTTAGTTATTTGTTTATATCCTGCTCCTCATATTTTTAAATATATAAACTAATAACCACTTGCATGAACTCCATGCTCAAGCAGTAGAAATCCCAGACACAGGTTTGCTGCCGCACTGTGAAGTAGGGCATCCCCAAATGTGTACACCCACAGTAAGCATACTTCTGTTCCATTCTTTCCCCATTTTCCAGATATTGATGAGTGTGTTACAGAAACACATACCTGCTCACACAATGAGACCTGTTTTAATATTCAGGGTGGCTTTCGCTGCCTTTCCTTGGAATGCCCAGAAAATTATCGCAAATCTGGAGATACGTAAGAACATTTCTTTATTCTTTTTGGTGGTTGGTGGTGGTACAAGGACCCAACCTAGTTCTCATTACATACCTTTTGATGTACCTATAGTGCCCTCTTGTGTTAGTTTATTCATTCTGTGAGTTAATGATACGCTTCTTAAATCAAGGTTATACATTGGAGCAAATGGCTGTTCATCTCTTCTACCAGCCAAAATGATTTTTTTGTAATCATACAGTAAAAAATCATATTTAAGATAAACCTGATATTTAAGATCAGTGTGTTGTACTGAGCTACTATTAGAAATTATGGGTGCTGAGGCAACTTAAAGCAAGGAAAAAATGAAAGTGACACACACGTCCTTCATTTTTTGTCATCCTGGACCACTTCTGGGACTGGCTTTGCACTGAGTGCACCCCTAGTCGGAGGTGGGTCTTTTCATTCGTGGTGCAGTGAAGGTGTGGGATCCTTAGTCTTCATGGAAGCAGCAATTCTGTGGTGAGCTGAGGGGCAGTGGATGACTCACATTAGGTCTGGCTTCCTTGGCCTGACACCCTCCATATGTTTTTGGATTACAGCTGACCGTCCTGGCTGGAGTTGTTGGGAGTCACATTCCAACACATCTGAGAGGTTGTGAAGGCTATATCAGGTTGTCAATGAGAGAATGAATGAGAACTGAGCTTCAGGCACAGTGTGTTGGGAAGTCCTTCTCACACACCTTAGTGAAAAGGCATCAGAGCTGTGTGAGTGCACTGTAGGTTATAAACGGCCCGTAACAGTTCAGCAGCTGAGCCAGTGATGGGGCTGTGAAGCCAGGGCTCTCACAGCCAGGATTGTGGCACATATTGAACATTGCAGCCCAGATTGACATTGAGGCTAGGGGCCTGGCTCACATGTATCTTATCTGTGAAGCAATTAGTAAAAACTGCTTTCCATCTGTTTTCATTTTCCCTGCTTTAATTTGATTAGCAGTGTATTACATTTGGAGAGGTGCGAATATTTCTGATATTTAGAGAGCTAGGGAAACTTGAAATATTCAAGAAGTTCTTTCAAATGTTATGTTATTTGTGCTGCTCTGCTGTTGCTCACTATCCCAGTCAGCTGCTGTTATGGTGCCTTTCCCCACTTCATTTTCAAACTGGCCTGCTTTCCAGACTTGGCTACATAGCAAGAGCACCGAGGGATTTGCCTTTGCTCTACATTAGCTTCATTTGTCCTCAGTGACTTTGGGTGCATGGCTGACTGGGGAAGGTTGGGATTTGTAGGACTTTTCCCTGTCTAAACACAAATAACTACATAGCCCAAAATGATTGGCCAAATGATCATCACTGTTATGGGGAAGAAGGCAATGCATTTGAAACTGAAAAGGCACCCAAGGAACTGCCAGTTAATTGAAGATGTAGAGAGTGAACTAAATCATTGATGCTTGCCAGATACTTCAGTGGAGAGCTGTGTGTGTATGTGGGGGGGATGTGTAGGAAAGGTGCTTGGTCTAGTAGAATATACCTATTTGCTTTCCTTTGCACTGCCTTACAATATTGTGAGGTGCAAAGAAAAAATATTTGTGAAATGGGTCCCATTTTTGAGTTAGCACTAAAATTAATATTTTATGTATATATTTAATATAGTTTCCCTTTTTTTCCTGGAGTACTCAAGTTGGTTAACAAAAGAATAAAACCATAATCTAACAATGTAAAACAACCTTTTACCAGATAACAAAGCATTAAAAACTGTTAAGATAGTTAAAAAAAAACAAACAAGCAAAAACAAAAACCCACAGCAGTTCACAGTGCAAATGCTTTCCCAAAAAGGAAGCTTTTTACCACCTTCTGGAAGGCTATGACAGAGGAGATAAGATGGGTTTCCATAGAAAGGAATTGCATAGCTACCAAGATGGCCTGCCTAGAGAAGCAAGGGAACAAAGTGGACTACAAGTTTAACCCAGGAACTTTTTAGGCAGAGGTATAGAATCTTCTCTTCCTCAGAAAACTCCCAAAATGCAAAATACATGGTGCTTCTAACGGACTTTCCTCCAGGTATACATCTTTAGTTTCAACAGTGCTACATGATCTCAAAATGAAATTATGCTCAGAAATCAGCCCAAGACACTTTGGTGTACCACTCCATACACATTCCATTCCTTCTCCTCGTGAAAGAAGGCTGGTTAAGAATCTTTCTGACACTGTTTTGATGCCGAGATAGGTATTAATAGATGATCATGGAAATTACCTATTTGTATGAATAAAGCCAAGCTGAGCGATGCTCTTTTGCAGCAAGTGGGGGCAGGGCCACCTTAACGCATGGGCCTGATGGGCACTTGCCCGTGGGCCCCATACTAATCTGTGTATGTTAACCCTTGGAAAATTGGAAAACGTCCAAAATTAACAGTAGTTATAGTTGTCGTAGGGGCCCCAGTACACTGCTTTGCCCGGGGCCTATAATACTGTTAAGACGACCCTCGGTGGGGGTGGGGGTGGGGGTGGGAGAGCATCACTGACCTTCTTTATAGCAAATGCTTCCAGAACATTCAACATGATGCAAAGCTTGTGGTTGCCTTCATAATTATGTCTGAGAGTGAATGTAAAATCTTCATTCTTTTTCACCCTTGAATTTGTAGTTTGCCAGAGTCTTGTTCGTTATAAATATTCCAATATTGAACATGTAATAATCACCTTTAAGTGCTGTGGCTTGAAATTATGCCAAGTATAATCATGGATGAAAAGGATAAAAAGGAACCCATCCCCAAATAGTAACCTAAAGTAATCAGAAATCAAGGCCAAAAGTAGTTTTTTGTAATAATGTTTATTTTAAAAGTTTATGTGGCTAATATAATTACAGAGTGCTGAAGGGGTTATAGAAAGAGATCCTTAAAACTCCAGTGCTATAGGAAATCTTATCCTGCCCTACTAGTTCAGCAATTACCCACCACCACCACCCAGCTCCCTTATTCCAGCCGCTTGGATTTCTTCCACAGTGACACCTAAAGATAAGCAAATAGAATAAGCGTACTAGGCCAATCCACAGGAGAAAGTTGTGGATTTGGACTTGCCCTAGTGGTTTCAGTTTGCTGGCTGTCCTGTAATAAGTGGAAGGTCTGTCCTTTTTTGCTTACCCCTACTCAAAGAAGTTGGGACACCTCACAGTGGAGCCCAGGAATGGTATGTTGTTATTTTGATGCTAATTGCATCTAGCCATGTGTAGTGCATGACCCATGGCTGAACTTTGGTTTTCAAAACCAAATCTTCAAAATGTACAAGCTACTTTTTATGCCTACAGAATGGAATCATTAGCACACATTTTAGTAAACCCACAATGAAGTGAGTGATGAATGTTGTAGGGTACCAAACAATGAGATAAAGGCTGGGATGATTTTTAAACAATTCTAATTTCCCAGCCAGAGGTGTATCAGCTTCCAACAATATATTTCTGAATCAGTAGAACAGGCTTTTCCATTTTTTTCACTTTTCTTCCCAACAACATACATGAAGGAAAAGGACATATAATGCATTTCCTTGTATCTTTTTATATTTTAGGACATATCTTTGTCCTAAAATATGGTGCAAGGAAATCCCAGAAGCATCATCATTGGCTACAAAGCACAGTCCCATCCTTAGTTATGTGGGCAATTACTTTGAGAAAATTATGTCAAAATATCCTTGGCTTCTCCATTTCCCTTTCTTTTCTCCTTCTCCTTGTAGAGTGATTGCTAATCCCCCTGCCTTTTCTTGTCTTCCCACTTTCCTTGCAGTCGTTGTGAACGCTTGGCTTGTCACGAAAATAAGGAATGCCAGAGGCTGCCCTTGAGAATAAGTTCTTATCACCTCTCTTTTCCTACCAACATTCAAGTTCCCATTGATATTTTTCGTATGGGCCCTACCAGTTCTGTTGCTGGGGATAAAATTCAGCTCTCCATCATCAGCGGGAATGAGGAGGGTATTTTCGCTATCAAAATGGTGAACAGCCACAGTGGTGTAGTGTCCATGCGGAAGCTGAGCCCTGAGCCCAGAGACCACCTCCTGACGATTCAGATGCAACTCTTCCGCCACGAAACTGTCAGCACCTTCATAGCCAAGCTGTTTGTCTTTGTCTCTGCACAACTCTGATCACTCGCATGCTGACATCCATCACTGTTTATCTCCTCCTTGGCAATGGCTTCCTTTTTACCATTTTTTACAATAAAGTTTGAATGGTAAATCACTCCCTGCATGCTGCATTTGCATTTTATTTAACTATAACATTTTTTAACATTCTTCCTTACCTCTTTTTTCTCATAGATAAGCTCTGGTTAGTGGAAAGAGGCCAATTTTTGATGGGGAATGCCCAAGACTTTAAGACCAGGATAGGCAACAAATGATCTGAGGTGGAATGAGGGTGTAAACCCAGATTCTGAGGCCCTCCTATCTGTCTTGCAGCAGAGCTCCTGGAAGGCAGTTAGGAAGGCCCTTGCAGTTCTTCCCCTAATGACAAAGATACTTAGGAAATGTCTCCTCAATTATTCTGTTTAAACCATAGGCCAGGGGTCAGCAACCCGCGGCTCTGGAGCCGCATGTGGCTCTTGAATGCCTCTGCTGCGGCTCCGTCGCTCGCATCACAGCCGCCGCCGATCCAAGGCCCATGCTGGCACAGTGGTGCGGCCAGCACAGCGCTTGGATAAATCGAAGAAAAGTTTCTGAAGAAAACCAAACGTTTAATGATACTTGGTTAGATTTACTGCTGACAAACGTATGGGGTTTGCTGTTTAATGCATGCAGCCCTTTAGCACTGACTTTGACTCTTCAGGAAGCTGTTCTATTCAAAGCATATGAAAGGAGTCTTGCTAGTTTATAATGTAAGATTAAAAATAACAGTTTTTAGTGACTGAACAAGAGCTGCAGCTAAATCATAATGAAGATATACATAGCAATAAGGTAAAAAACGATATATGCAGTGTTATCTTCATTTTAGATGTCAAAAGGGTTTTGTGGCTCCCAGTGTTTTCTTTTGTGTGGGAAATGGGTCCAAATGGCTCTTTGAGTGTTAAA